GAGGCAAAAACCCCAAATTGCAAACACAGAGGAGAGAGGATGGTTTACTAAACATAAATATAGAAGAAAAAACCGAGAATGATTATTTTCCCACTATCTGAAAATGGAATAGCAATAGAAAAGCCAACAGGATACTAGAAATCATTAAAAAGAGGTTGCAGAAATTTACGTGCATTTGACTGCATGCGGTTTATAAAGCGCTTTTACGTTATTATCTCTTCTTCGGTCCTTATCAAATCTTGTGATCTTGTGAGTTAGGAATGAGGAAACTGAGGCTCAGAGAAGCTGTGGAACTAGCCCAGTGTCACCTGATTTGTAAACAGTAGGCCTGGACTCAAATCCAAGCTGTCTGACAGTAGCTCCCCCAGGCTCTCTGCTGTGCCGGGCTGTTGCCCCACGTTTCACGGCATTGTCCATCTTTTTCCCTGATATTGAATAGGTCCTACGTATTCACTGCCTTGGAACACCATTAGGATTTACTCTACTTTCTTAAATCTTTAAAAACAAGTCTGTTATCTCATAAAAAAGTGATCTTTCAACTGTGCTTTATTAGACCGAAATGTAGGTAGGTCCACTTTTGGCCACGGGGCACCAGATCCAATTTAAACACATTGCAGTGTATTTCACTTGAGCAAAGCTGTCTGGGGTGGATTTTACTTCTGATTTTGTTCTACTTAATTGTATTTTCTGATTCTTTTTATATAATAAGTATTTATTGGCTGTGTTTTTAAAATAAATGAATAGGTATATGCACTTTTCTGTGTGTGTGGATGTATATTGTGTGTACTCATGAAAAGATTTTACAGTGAGTAAACAAAATGTAGATTGACAATGAAGAGTAGTCCAGTAAAGGAAAGCTCAGAGAAAGAAGGAGAGAAGAAATGAAAAGATGGAAAGAAGAAAGGAAGGGAGAGAGAAAAAGAAGAAATGTTTAAGGAATTAGGATTATTTTGTCTGGAGGAGACAGAGTGCATTGGGAAACTTATTCAAGTCACAGGCCTTGTCCAGCGTTTGGCAAATAATAAGACTCAATTGTTTCCTGAACAGATAACATTAAATTAGGGGAGGTTGCACTGATGGAGGCACTGGACGCTCTTGGTGCCTGCAGAAGGCTGAGTACGCACTTTGTATTATGGCAGGAGAGGTTTTGGTCAACGTTAGGAAGAACGCAGCAGGTTGAGAGGACGCAGAGACGAGCGAGCCGATGAGTTCTCTCTAAGAGCGCTTCAGAAGGGAAGCAGCCGCCATGTGTCCGGGGGAGTTTGGACCTTCACTCAGCTCGAGGCCGGCCCCTTCCAGCGCCGGCGGGGCACTGAGGGCGCAAGTCCTCGTAACTTCCAGAGAATCCAAAAGTGGAAGGCACCTGATGGTCCAGCCGTCTCTTTTCACCCAGGGGAAGCAGACACCCCACTGGTGAGGTGTTCTGACTCCTGGGGGCTAGGCCTGAGCCGCCGGATGAGGGAACGTTGCCAGGGCAGATTCTGGAAATCCTAAAAGTTCTCTAAAGACATTTGGTTTTTCTGGAAGCCCACACTTCCTGTTACTTCCTCCCTAAACCACACACTCTTTCCCCTGCCGTTTTCTCTGTGTAAATCCTGGGAGCCGCTCTTGCTGGTGAAACGACCCAGGCCGCCTGGCATCATGTCCCAGCTCTGTCACTCACCACCCGTGTGACTTTAAGCAAGTAAAAGTTAGTATCTCTGGCCTTCATTTCCTTCACCTGTAAAATATGGGCAATAATGCTGTCTGCTTGCAGAGGTGGTTATGTGAATAAATAAGGCATGTGATGGGTTTAGCACAGTACCCAAGACATCGTAAGGTTAGGAAATGTTTGCATATTATTATTAATCAATCAAACATTGAGTATTTATTAAACACTGTTCTGTGCTAATCACTCTGAGAGACATAAACCAAGATCTCCAGGGTAAAGTCAAGGAGAAAATTTAGGCAAGAGCACATAATTTATTCAGTACCAGACTCCATTTTTTGGTCCAGATAATCTGTACTAAGTCAGTCTCCTCCCCTTTGCCTGGGACAGCACACTTTCCATTAGTCTCAGCTCCTTGGACGGGGCATTCCCTGAGGACAAGGCCCTGTGACAGAGTCCCGCATGAAGACACACAATTGTTGGTTTCTGTCTTTGAGTGACACTTCGTCTAATTCAGTACTCCAAGAGTGCAGTCCCTGCCCATCAGACAGCCCAAATGCCAGCCTGGGGACTCCTCAGTCACTCCCCACTTGAAATGCCCATGAAGCTCAGAGAGGGTGTGTCACCGCCTTCCAGCCACGCATCTCGACTCACCCCAACAGTCAGGGTGCTCTGAAAGAGATGCCCTTTCCCTGTTTTCCTGGGCATCAAAATGCTGGCCAAAAGCTAGGAGGGTAGGATTACAGAGGAGCACGTATATATTGCTTATGTCAGTGTCAGTGGTTTTGAAAGGCAGGCCCCCACACCTTTTTTACTTTTTATTTTGATATAACTGTAGATTCACATGCAGTTGCAAGAATTGATACAGACAAGAACTAGGGTACAGTTTCACAACCAGGAAAATGACAGTGATATGATCCACCAGCCTAATTCAGATTTTACCAGTTTTACGTGCGTGTGTGTGTGTGTGTGTGTCTGTGTGTAGTGCTGTGCCATTTTATCGCAGGTGGAGATTCATGTAAACACTATGATAGTCAAGACACAGAACAGTTCCTCCCTCCCTCCCCCACCACCCCACCTGACAACCACTGATCTGTTCTCTGCCTCTGCAATTTAGTCATTTTAGGAATGTGACCTACATGGCGTCATACGGTATGGGACCTTTTGAGACTGGCTTTTTAGGGTCATTCCCTTTAAATCCCTCCAAGTTGCTGAGTACATCAAGAGCTTGTTCCTTTTTGTTGCTGAGTACTATTTCCTGATAATGGAGGTACCATTGTTTCTCCATCCATTCACCTATTGAAGTGTATTTTAGTTGTTTCCAGGTTTTGGCTATTAGAAAGAAGGTTGCTTTGGATAGTCCCATGCAGGTTTTTGGGTGAATGTATGCCTTGATTTCTCTGGGATAAATAAATGCCCAGGAGTTTGATGGCTGAGCTGGATGGTGAGCATATATTTAGTTTTGTAAGAAATGAATCTGCTGCCTTCCAGAGTGGCTGTACCATGTTTCATACCCACCAGCACCCTGTGAGCGATCCAGGTTCCGACTCCTTGCTAGCATTTGATACTATCTCTATTTTAAATTTTCACCATTCTGATAGGTGGGTAGTGACATCTCATTGTGGTGTTCATTTGCATTTCCTCGATGTCTAATGACATGCAGCATCTTTTCGTGTGCTTATCTGCCGTCTGTATACCCTCTTCAGTGAAATGTCTGATGTCGCCTTTTGCCCATGTTCTGGTTGGATTGCTTGCTATTCTCCTGTTTAGTTTTGAGCTCTTTATATATTCTGGATATCGGTCCTTTGGGAGATCTGTGGTTTGCAGATATTTCCTCCCCGTCTATAGTTTGTCTTTTCATCTTCTTCACAGGGTTAAATTTTGATGAGGTCTAATTTATCAAGTTTTCCTTTTCTTTGTCATGCTTTTTGTGTCAAGTCTAAGACCTCTTTGCCCTAGGTCCCGATGTTTTTCTCCTGTGGGGTTTTTTTTTCCTAAAAGTTGTATGGTTTTATCCCTTACGTTTCAGTCTTTGATCCATCTGAGTTAATTTTTGTATGAGATGTGAGACGGATCACGGTTCACTGTTTTGCTTGTGGCTGTGCAATTGCTCCAACACCTTTTTTGAAAAGCAATTTGGCAATATTTATCGTGAGCCAAAAGAAGGTTTGTAGCTTTTTTTCTGTCACTTCTGTGAACTTACCCTATGGATATAATGCAGAAGGATGAATAAGCTATAAGGCTGGAAGATAGTCACTGTCACTTTTTTAGATAAAATTGAAAAATTGGAATTAATCTAAGTGCCCAACAGTTCGGAGTTGGCTAAGTATGACACATACGTGGAATGGTATGCAGTAACTTTCACCCATTCAACAAATATTTATTCCGTATGCACATGTGTTAGTGATAACAGGGTGAGCAAATGAGACACCACCCTCCCTTCTAGAAGCTCACAGTCTAGAAAGGAGAGCAGAGAAGACAGGTCTGCCTCTTAGAAAAATACATTTGGTAAACCAAGGTGGGAAACGGGGAGCCAAGTTGTATGTACAGGGTGACTGAAACTGTGTTGAAATATATGCATGGGAAAAAGACAAGAAAATCATTCTTTTTGGGTAATTGGATCAACGGCAGTTTTTTTTTCATCCTCTGTTTTCCATACCTCACATGGCACTGTTTTTTTTTAATAATAAGAAGAATGCTAAAGAAAGCTTCAATTGAGAAATAGCTTCTTGCCATGAAAAGGTTAGGATGTCCATTTGCAGAGGCGGCAGTCACACGCACAACAATCCAAGGGCACGGGAAAGGCCACCACAGACAAGTGGGTGTCCCCGCGCCCAACTAGGCCGAGCTGGACAATTCCGTCAGTCAACAAGCATCGACGGGGTGTCTGCAGGGTGGTGCGTCACATGCGACCCTCAGAATCTGCGTTGAAGAACAGATGGTCCCTGACCTCGTGGAGCTCTTACAGGGAGCCCTAGTCTCCACACACCCGGACAGTTATCAGTGAGGGCATCATTGTCCCCATTTGCGCAGAGAGCTTAAGCACTTGGCCACAGCCACACAGGCTATAAATGGCCGCCCAGGGCTCGAGACCTGGACTTCTACCCCTGAGGCCAGTGCTGCTCTCAGAACACCAGGACTGCCTCAAGAGCAGCTGCGATAACAGGGGCTCCAAGCCAGCAGACAATCGGCCGACACCCATAAGGAACATTTAAGTCACTTGGGTGGAAAGTGCATCCCTGCGGAGGGCTGGGCTGCTCCCTCCTGAAGTGCTTGGGGCTGGGGTGGGGGTCACGGTAGCGAAGGGCCCGTGATGCGGACGCCTGGGCTCACCTCTCCCTCCTCTCCACAGATGGTGAAGGCAATCCAGGTCCTGAGAATCCACCTGCTGGAGCTGGAGAAAGTCAATGAACTCTGCAAGGACTTTTGTAATCGTTACATCACCTGCCTCAAAACCAAGATGCACAGTGATAACCTGCTCAGGAATGACCTCGGGGGGCCCTACTCCCCCAACCAGCCCTCCATAAACCTTCACTCACAGGTAACACCTGGGGCCGGGTCTTATCTCCTAGCCAGGCTCCTAAGCCAGGTGTCAGAATGTCTGAAGGTCCCGTGGTGACCTAGGAAAGTGGTTTAGACTCACTGGTTCCGTTGACCGTGAAATCCGTCCTCTGCTGCGCTCCTCCTGCTGTTTATCAGGAAGCAAAGTCCCTTTTCCTCCAAGAGCTCGCATGCCAGGGCGTCAGTCTCCCGAGAAGATAACCAGACCTGAGAGGGGCGATGTCCAAAGTGATTCCTGGCTTCCTGGCCCAAGGAGTCCCAAGAAATGAGCACAAGAGTTAAGGTGATGGAGAGCTTTGTTGGAGGATGAGGCAGGGACAGAGCTGGGGACGGACCCACACATCCCAGCCCCACAGGCTTCTCCAGGGGGCTGCAGCCCGATGAGCTCTCTGTGCTCTGGGAAGGGGGGTTTGGGGAAAGTGGTCCTTCCCTGAATCCTGCCCACCTAATAGGTGAATGCAGCTTCCCGTGGGACAGCTTGTCCCCGATCATTCTCTGATTGATCAGCCTGCCCTGGCACACCTGTCTCCTGTGGTTCAGGGCCACTGAATAGGTCACCTAAAGTCACCCATCTCAAGATTCACCTGCCACCTTCATCCTGGGAACTGCAGAAAGTGGAAATGGTGGCTACGTGCTCTAGGCGAGAATGGGCTCTCTCTCCAGGGCAGAATATTTTTCCCAAACCTATAAACTGAGAAAGCTGCCTGGTGATACCTTTCCATCAAACTCACTGGTGTCTGCATAAGTCATAGGTTCTTCACTTTCTTCCCCTTCCCCTGAGCTCCTGAGTCCAGGACAGACACAAGGAGGGTCTGCCAGGAGGTTTATAGTAGCCCCTTCCCATGAGACAATCAAGCTTGGAGATGCAGGTCAACCTTCTACCTGTAGAAAGTGAGAGGTGCTGGAAAGTGTGCCTAAGAAACGGGGTGCCATTTTTATCCCTAAGTTTTAAGGGCCAACACGTATAATCTATCTCTCTAGGTTGGCGGAGGCAGGGGAAGGGACAGGGTAACCTCTAGGAGGCCAGCCGGGCCTTGTGCATTTTGACAACAAGCACCACATCAAACCCACCCCAGTGGGATCTCTGTGGGACTCGACAGTGAGTACTGCATGGGACACGAGGCAGGAAGTGTATTTCCTCTTCCCACTGCTTGAAATCACCAAATCACTTTATTACAGATCTAAACTCTGCCGCACAGGCTTCTGCTTGCTAATATTCTCTTGAAATAGACTCATTCCTTCAGAGTCTTATTGTACTTTCCCTTATGATCAAAATTAGCAAGAAACTTGCATAAAAGAGGACAATAATTGCTCAACGAGCATCTCGTTTGTAATTTATTAGTTTCTATTATTGTGGGTTACCATGGCGACGCTGCGCAGCCCCGGTGACGGGAGAGATGCAAGATAGGAGCCAGGGAGGCTGTGAGGCCTCACCAAATGGAGATGCACATTTTTATCAGTAATTTTCATGAAAATAATAAGTGAGGAGTTAATGAGATGGAAAGCCATCCTGTGGCTATTGTGAATTTGTTTTAAGTGTTGATCTAATTAGAATGCATCGGTCAGGAAAAGTAATGAGGATTTAGTGCCTCACAGAGATGTGAGGATCATATCAGAAAATTAGCACAAGTCTTTGGAAATAATCAGGTCCTTGGAGAGGCACGGGGTTTCCCCTCCTGGGCCCTCCATCCCCACCTCGAGCTCTGGCATTGGGGGTGTATCAGAGTAGCAGGGGGAGAAAGGTGAGCCAGAGGGCTGAGCAGCCACAGTGCACCCCAAGGTTTGGGGTTCCCGGGGCTGCAAGTTCGTCTGCCAGAAGCAGGGTCGCTAGAGGCGCGGGTTAGCAGAGAAGGATCACATGGGCTCTGGGTGCGCCAGGCCTCGGAGAGGCTGTTTGCAAAAACCAGTCCTCCCTGGCATTCCCAGCGTTCGGTGCCTCTGAGCTTTGAGGAAAGAGGAAGGAACTTTGATCCCTAGCACTGTAAGCATCAGATCTCTGCCTGCCAGTGGAGCTGGCCCTGGGGTGACCACTGCAGACAGAAGAACTCGGACAATCAGATGAAAACAAAGATACCAAGAAAGAGAGGACAAGGCGCTTAGCGAGGTGGTCCTATTTGCTGTTGCTCAGACTTGTCCCTTCATTTCCTCTCCCCGCTGTGATCCCCTACGTGGGTCAGGTTTCAGCACGTAAATAAGGTAATTTCACACCAGCTACTGTCATGGCTTCCCACCCTGCTCTTCCGTCTTTCTGGCTGCCTCTCAGCCCTCCTGCACATGCAAACGCACACACACACATTCACATACAACACACACCTCTCAGGCTTCTGCTGCCAGCTTTGTCCTCCTAAAACTCTGTTCACGCCCATCTCCTGCTTGGACGCTCCGACTGCCCCCAGAATTTTCACATCATTTCACCTGGCATTCCAGGCCCTCCTAGGTCACTATTCTTTCATGCCCATGTGTTCGGGTGACACCCTAACGTCTCTGCAGGACCAAGGGCAGTAACAAGGCTGGTCTCCCCAGGGAGGCCTCTCTGACGCCCCACCCAGGTTGGACTTTTCTTTCTCTCCACTGACTCCTGGAGCACAGTGGGCCATTTAAAAGGTAAATGTCACATGTGACTTTACGTTATTGTCACTTGTGTAAGACCTTATTTTCCTTTCCTGGATAGCAAACTTTTTTTGAGTAGAGACGGTATTTTATGTTATTATAACCCACACCTGATGGTAGGTACCACAAGGTCTGGTGCGTGATAGACGGCCAGTAAATATCTGTTGAAAGATGTAATGTGATGAGAAAGATGGAGAGAGAGGAATCAAGAGAGGCAAGAGGAAGGCAAAGGAGGAAAGGAGAAATAGGGAGAAAGACAAAGGGAAAGAGACAAATATCAGGGTCACGTTGAAGAGGGAGGTACAGGAAGGCTGATGAACTGGAGGAAAAGAGCAACAGAAAGACGTGGACAGAGGAAGAGGGAGAGAGGCTGGAGGTGAGATGGGGAAAGGGCCGGCGGCAGTAGTGAGGTGGGGGACGGAGGGATGGGTGTGGGCCAGTGAGGTGCCCCTGGCGTGCGGGGAGAAGAAGGTGAGCAGGACATGCCCGGGCCGTCCCGTCCACAGCTCCAGGTCAGGCTTCCATCACGGCCTCGCCGAGGTGGGTGGGGGCTGGTGGGTCTCCCCAGGAAGGAGAGACCCAAGGAGAGCAAGAGAGTTTCAGCGCACGAGGCAGGCCTGGGGTGCGGGCACGGGAGCCAGCCCGGGAGAGGAGAGAGAAGCGGAGTAGGGACGCGTGTGTGTGTGTATGCGCGTGCGCGCATGTGTGTGTGTGTCTGCACACGCATTCGTCATGGTCTGACCTTAATCCCTCCAGCCTGAAATAGCCTCACCGAGCGCCAGCCCGGCCTTGGGAGGGTGTCTCCCCTCTGGAACACGATCCTTTACTCAGGATCAACATTCCAGCCGCCCGCCAGCTTTGTTGCAGACTGCTGGCTCACGGTCTTGCCTGTGTGCTAAGCATTCAGCCTTGTGTTGCAAAGTGGGAGATATTCTTTTATTCAGACTGGTCCCCCTCTCTCAGATGCCATACTGAACCCCCATCCAGCTCTGTGGGGTCTGGGCATATTCCCCACTGGGCCTTCCATTTCTCTATGTGAGTTTTCTCCTAGGGGGTGGAAGAGGGTGCAGAGATGGGGAGACTGCTTCTACCAAGCAGGAGAGCTCAACCGGAGTTTCCAAGGACTTGGGCACAGCCTGCTCTTTCCACGTTCCTGGGAAGCCACCCTGTACTGCCCACACCTAGTGACGCCCAGGCTCCTTACCCGGGGGCACATCCTCAGTAAGGAAGCTCTTTCTCGGTGGCACAAACTGGACTATGCTGGAGAGACTTTAACTTCCACCTCACTCAAGCATAAATCTGTCCCTCTTTCTCCGTGGAGATTAAACCTCAGCTCTCTTCCAGGGCAGATTGAGCTGAACCTCGATTCTTGTTCAGTTGCCAAGCATCTCGGGGACGCTTACTGTATGCAGCGTGCTAGGTCCAGGGTGAGCTCCCCAACTCCGTGGGAGGGAGCTTGCATCACAGCTGATGATCTAGATAAGTTATGAGAGCTTAGAGCACTCAGGGTCAAGGTGACACTAAGGAAGGGCAGGAAGGCAGCCGGGGAAGGGGTCTGGATTGAGCAGAGCATGTGTGTGGTCTGAGGTTGCCCTGTCACCAGAACATCCTTCTTCCTCCCTTGGGTAAACCCCAGCCCCAGCCTGCACGGCCTCACGGCCAGGGTCGGTTCCTGCCCAGAGGCAGGATGAGCAAATCTCAGTATGGATCCTACAGGCCAGCAGGATGATGTTGCCCATTGTGACTGGAGAAGTTGCAGATTCCCTGACCTTAGCAGGACTTCCGGGGGAGGTGGCATTTCAGGCAGGCTTGGGTGAGTGGAGGGTGGTTAGTAGACTATCTGGGAGCTCTCAGTGTGAGTGTTCCCAATGTAGAAAGAAGTCTGGAGACAGCAGGGAACAGAAACAGCCTTTCATAACCCCTGGAGAGGAGGAGCCAGGGTAGAGGGCAGAAAAAACACTCACTTCTGCATCATGTGTCTATCCAAGCACCTACTAAGGCTGCTGGGTTCCAAGAATGCGAAAATGGCTGCAACACGATCTCTAACCTGAAAATGCAATGATGGAATATCTTGCAGCCAAATTTGGGGGGTGAGGGGTGTTATGCTTTGAGTCTGATAATCACAGCCAATGGCCAAAGACTATAAAGGTAGTGGAGAATGTAGGCAGTAGGGTAAGGGTTGGAGACGGGTTGGAGACAAACTCACTGAATCGCCACCTCTTGAACTGCTCAAAGAAGAACCAGCAGAAAAAGAGGAGAAAGTGTACGTTTATTGAACATCCTGGTCTCAAACACTGTTTGTACCAGGTGCTTTGCCTAGATCATCTTGCTTACTGCTTACAACAAGCCTGCAAGGTGCACGTTATTGTC